AAGTACAAAGGTTTCACTTTTTCGATGGTATGTTTCCCGGTCGATGGTATCCGAAAGGTTTTTCTGCCAAGAGCATGGTATCCAAAAGGTTTACCCTAAATATTTTAGGTTGTCCAAAGACACCTTCAAGGCGAAGGAAAACAATGAGCATATCCTTGCCTTTTTATCTAAGGACAAGCCCGCGATTCTCACAATCACCTCTCCTCCCAGCCTTCTTCCCGAGCCTTCTATAGTTATTCCCAGCGTTTTGCGTGGTCTGAAGTCCTGGCCTCGCCCACGAAAGTCATAGTCTTGGCAGATTCTATGAGGAAAAGGGCATTCGTAGGTGCTATTCGGACGCGGCACCCGACGGCCCAAAGGATAACACAAATGTTTCTGCATCAAGATCAGTTCGGATATTGATTTCACGAGCAGGATTAGCAAAACTCTCCAAGACAGATCTGGGTGTTGTATCACAGGGCCTCTGGCCCAAGGCCACCAAAATTTTGTCCATTCGTGCCCATGGTAACTCTCCCGCCTGCAAACGCGGATTGTAATAAATAAAAAAACCGCGCCCTTGTTCACCCCTTACCGTAGTCACCCTCGTTTTAACAGTTCCCCCGTTCAATTTGGATGATCATTGGGCGGGTTATCTCGTGTTGAGACAATCTGGTACTCGAGCACCGTGCCTGCTCGCTTTGCACGTGTCTGTTCCAGAACTCTTGTAAAAGCTCAAATATTTACAGTCGCACCCCGTTGTCCCGGACCTCGCTCTCCCGGATTCTTCGCTGTTCCGGATGAATTTCTATGAATTATAAATTTCTTCACACCAAAACCAAACATGCTGTCCCGGATAACTCGCTGTCCCGGACGGATTCTCAGGATTTTGGCCGTCCGGGACAACGGGGTGCGACTGTAGGCGAAAAATGTGCAGTTTCCTATCCTGGTATGGTACGGTACTGTTGTGCAGTGCTCGAGGAACCCGCGATGCACTTGAATGCACTCGAGTACTCGAGTACAAGTACTAGTAGACTATTGTCTCAACTGAGGGCTGAGTGTTGCAGGGCTTCCAAGTGGGGCGGCCGAGAAGGGGAATTCCAACGTGCTAGCACATTCCGCTTCTACTCTGAGGACTTCCTCCCTTCGTCCCATTATTTCTCGGCACACAATATCCAATTGCCCTGCCGTGCCTGTTCCCACTTTTACGCAGGGAACGGTACAGTATTCCCTTCCCGCCCCGGGCTCCACCCTCCTCTGGGAAAGTCTGCCAGTGATAGGATGCCCGAATACCATACATGCGGCCCACGTGTGATGTGCCATTTCGAGTGAGACTCTGTGCACGCCGTGGGGGAAACAAGAATGTGACAATGCGGAAAGCATTTGAGACAACAAGCCGCAACATGCCGCGCTGGAGGTTCTAGGCACTCACAATTGGGGAAGGCGAGGCTTTATCCACCCATTGTCTCTGATCTGTGGATCCGCTTGCCGATCGGAGCTGCTCGAGGAGCAGCCAGGAAAATGGGCGTTTTCTGGGGTAAGGTGTGCGAGGGGTTGGGTTTGTGGGGTATGGTATGGCACGTTATGATACTTGTACGCTTGCTTGGGGAGTCGTATGATACTGACCAACCAGCCGCTTGGAGACGTTATAGTACTGTACAGTATTCGTGTTGTGATTATCTGCCCTACTATGAATGGAAGTTTATTTTTTGCACTCGCATCGTCGACTGGATGGCTTGATTGGGGGATTCAATAACAATAACTTCCGCAGTTGTACTTGTATGCACGATATTTCTGTCGATCGCAGGTGCTGGAATCAACATGACACCCACCGTGCCCTAGCGCCATAACGTCCCTGGGCAATCTCCTCCAGTAGATCACACCACAACCACCTGAACATCACACTTCCCAAGGCAAAAACCGGCAGGAAAGAGAACGCTCGATCAGCAATCCCCCACTGACACTGGTCAAGTTCCATTCCTTCCCCGCCACCCTCGTACAAAGAAGCCATGCCAAGAGACCAACCACGGGTTGAATGCCAAAAGCAAAAAAAACAAAGTGAAGGAAGAAGAAAAAAAAAGAGAGGCTAGGAAAAAACGAAACTCACCACTCTGTAAGCAAGCGAAGGGAAACAACATAAAAGCCCGCCCCTTCGATCTTGCAATGCGGATTTCCACCATTCCCCCCCACTACCACTCTCGCTCTTACTACTCTCGCTTTTATTTTTTATTTTTTCCCGGCTGCAGAATTGATTGATAGCTTTATCGATCGATTGAGATTCCTCGCATTCGCTGTAGAAAGAGAATAAAAGAAGGGAAAATATAATAAGGATGCGCACCTCAAGTATTCTCGTGAAGTTGGTTACGCTCGCTTCACTCGCTGGGATTGTTGCAGCCGTGGGCGAGACGGTGAATTGTGCCTTGTGCAGTGAGTGAACCGTCTTTATACTATACATTCAGGGCCTCTCATCATTGACGTGGGGATATTATAGCTGCCTGCTGCGGGTCCGGTGTCCAATGCATAAACAACGACCCGATGGGGTACTCTTGCGTGCCCATATCCGCGAGTGCCCCTAGCACTCGTACATCCGATGGCACGAGGAGTTCGGCTGCGCCCAGCACCACTGCGGAGCTGCCGTGTAGTCGTGGTGGGCAATGTAGATCTGGGGATCTTGGGAGATCCGTATGAACCCACCCTCTCCTCCTCCTTGACATTCATTGCTAACGGGCCGGATAGACGACGGAAATTCCGAGAACCTCCTGCGCCACCTGCAGGACTTCTCCTCAAGTGGTAAGTCAAGTTTCCCTTTTTTCCACTTTTTGAGAGTGATCGGGCCATTGAGGATTTGTTTGCTGATCGGTTGGTTCAGCCTATTGTCACTACTCCCGCCTCCAGGGGCAACTCTACGAGCAGGCCAACGGGCATGACCACCATGCCGAGAAACTCTACTGTTCCCCTACCCACTGGCACTTCTAAGCCTGCGAATCAGACTACTGTCGCCACGGGAAGCGCTGGTGCCAAAACTGGTGGTGCGCCTACTGGCGGTAGCGGTACTACAGGTGGTGGGGCAGGCAATACGGTTTCCCCCGCCGCTACTAGCACCAGGTCTATCATTGGGTCTACCGGCGCTGCGGACAGGAATAGTGCGAGCATGCTTGCCGTGGCGGTTCTTGGGTCACTTGTGTGGTTTTTGGGATGAGTGTGATGGACTATAATGTTTATGGATTCTGATACTGATATGTTTTAATGTACTTTGGTAATAGTTAATGTTGGTTAATATTGAAAATTAAATGTGTACCTGAGCTATTTGATGGGTGTTGAATGAAGAGTGTCTCGAGCAAGCTTTTGTGCATATATGTCCTGGAGGTGCAATTTTGGGATGACATTATTTTATACCAGCATCAAGTTTGTCACCCACAGCGGTCGTTTATAGTAACGTTCATACCACCCAACCGGGTTGATTCCCAATCGTTTCCACAATTATCCCTTCCCAGATTCCACGCTAACGAGGCGGATATCCTGGAAAACAGTAAACGAAGCATACAACCTACCATCACCACTACTGACAAACCACACAGCGCACCCAGCACCAGAACACAGAAATAACCACCGCCCCCACCACGTACCGGTATGATACTACCCACTATACATATACGATACTATGGCTCCGGCCATCTATACACAGCACCTCAGATTTGGTTTCACATAACTCTTGTAGTAGTAGCACTTCCCGACTGCTTGGTATTTGATTGATTTTGGTTTTTATTTTATTAACCCGTTTTGTTGGTGTCGCATGTCGGGATTTTTCGTTGTACCGTATTTTTTGCCCTGCCATCTGGTACATAGAGGGTACGATACAAAGAACTTAGATATTATACTGTGCGGTGGTACTAAACCCAAGGCTTTGACCTCGTTCTTGAAGTTGCCAATTGTGTTTTAGTGCGCTGTGCCAATCGGTGCCATGATACCTATGGTACTGGTCGTTAGCGGGGGCGTGCAAGAAGCCGGAATCTGTCCGGCAAGTATCATATCCGGGGTTTTTTTTCTTTTCTTTTCTTTCTTATGGAATGGAATACTGTGGTTCGTGATGGGTGTTTGCTTTGAATAAGTATATTCAAGGGCGCATGGTTTAGGGGTATAATATCTCATTTGCAATGGATCTCATTGTGAGTTCATGAAAATTTGAGATGGTCCTGGGTTCGATTCCCAGTACGTCCAATCTTTTTCGACCTCTTCTTTTTGAGCCGAATATCAGGTCCCCAACATGTTCTTTTGTTCCCTTACGGCACGGCAATTTCTCTCTTCTGTCCCGTCCTATCCTACTCTATCCGCCAGACCAGGACTACCGACTGGCTTATCTGGCCATCCTTACAAACGTGCAAGGGGACCAGCAACTTTGAAATTTAAAGGGGAAGGGCTATTTCTACAAGTGGAGAATTTATAGCAAATTTTTAGTTTATTCAAGAGAGGGGATTTTGCTCTACAAGTTTAGTTTTTTCCAACCCACGACTTGCCCTCAGAAAAGGCCGTTCAAAAATCAGAATAATGAAATCTCGCCTGTACAAATAATTGTATTGGAGCGAGAGAACACTTTCTCATTCTTTCACCATGCGCGAGCAGCTGTCCAGCCGCCTATCTGCCCATTTGTTTACTTAGGAGTGATCATGAGCTCCGGACGCACAAGTTGATCAAACTAGAACCCCATCAGCACCCACTCATTCATCGGGACCACCTGTCCGCGAGAAAAAGGAGAAATACGCACCTCATCACTAGTCAAAGCCCCCAATTCCAACGCCGACTGCTTCAGTGTAGTTCCCTTCTTGTGCGCGTTCTTGGCAACTTTACTCGCCATGTCGTAACCAATCTTTGAATTTAGGCAGGTAACTAGCATCAAGCTCTCGTGCAAGAGCTTTTCAATCTTGTCCTCATTCGCCTGGATTCCCACAACGCAGTTATCTTTGAAACTAGTCATGCCATCGGCTAGGAGAGTTATAGAATGTAGGAGGTTCTTGATAAGGACGGGTTTGAAAACGTTGAGTTCAAACTGGCCTTGTGAGCCGGCTACAGTTATTGCGGTGTTGTTGCCTGGAAGGAGTTAGTTGATAGACATAAAGAGAAAGGAGGAGGAGAAGATACCCATTACCTGCGCACAAACCATAGTGATGGCTTCGCATTGGGTTGGGTTAACCTTTCCGGGCATGATGGAGCTACCAGGTTCATTCTCTGGAAGGCTTAGTTCACCAAGACCGCAGCGGGGACCGGATCCCAAATACCTAATGTCGTTGGCGATTTTCATCAAGGAGCATGCGAGGGTGTTAAGCGCTCCACTGGCCTCGACAATGGCGTCGTGGGCTGCTAACGCTTCGAACTTATTGGGCGCGGTCTTGAACTCAGTTCCAGTCAACTTGGAAACTTCTGCGGCGACCGCGACGTCGAAACCCTTTTTGGTATTGAGTCCAGTGCCGACGGCAGTTCCTCCCTGTGCCAAAAGCTTAAGTCTGGGAAGAGTGGCCTCAATCCTCTCAATACCATATGCCAACTGAGTAGCATATCCCGAAAACTCCTGGCCCAGTGTCAAAGGGGTAGCATCCTGAAGGTGCGTCCTTCCGATCTTAATAATTTTCTCAAAGGCCTTGACCTTCTCCTGGAAGGCGACCAACAAGGCTTTCAGGCTGGGCAGCAGATTCTCTTCAATCTCCATGACAGCCGCGATATGCATCACTGTGGGGAACGTATCATTGGAAGAAGCGCTCATGTTGACATGGTCGTTCGGATGGACCGGTTTCTTACTACCCATCTCGCCCCCAAGAATCTCGATGGCTCGATTGCTGATAACCTCATTCGCGTTCATGTTGGACTGGGTACCACTGCCGGTTTGCCAGACCACGAGTGGGAAGTGCGGAAGGAGTTTTAGGGAAATAACTTCGTCTGCCGCTTGTTGGATTGCCTTGCCAATGTCCTCGGGTAGGCCATAGCTCAAGTTCACTGTCGCCGCTGCACGCTTGAGGATGCCGAAAGCTTTGATGATGGCCGGGGGCATGCGGTCGAAGGGTTGGTTGATCTTGAAGTTTGTGAGGGAACTGGGGGAATCGTCAGCCTCATTCTTATTAGCCTTTGGCAGTTTCTTCCGCCGACAGGAGCAAACACGCGAGGAGATGGGATAAAACGAACCGTTCAGTCTGCGCTCCCCAGTACTTGTCTGCATCAACCTTGATCTCGCCAAAGGCATCTCTCTCTATTCTGAAATTATCTGCCTGTGAACCAAACGTTCAAGCAAGATAAATAGGTAAAAATAATTAGCTCACCCCCTCACTCGCTCACCCGCTCACTCATGGGCCACAGACAAGCTAGAAAGGAAGAGAGGGAGAAACAAACCATAGTGTAAGAGGTGGTAGAAAACTGTCTAAGGAACCGTGGACTCGTGATGATGTAGGAAGAGGTGTTGCCGCAAACACTCAAGAGACCACTAGCTCCCCCTCGGGTAGAAGCGATAACCGCGGCTTGTGGACCTCTTCCCCCTCCTACTCTTGCTCCTAAGCCCCTCCTCACGTGTAACCGGAAGCCTCGAGCAACGGTTCGCAAGGAAGCGTTCATCATGGTCCGGGTTGGTGCAACTCGATATATCAATTCTGCAATCCTTGATCCTCTTATCTTTCCAATTTGAGCGTCCCCCCTACAAAAAAAAACAAAAAAACACGACAATAAAAAGTTGTCTGTTTGGAACAGATGCTTTTGGGAGGGAGAAAAGGTGATGAGGAAGATATGACAGGGGAACCGAAGTTGAGGTTTGTACGAGTATACACGATGGGTATTTTTATTTTTATTTTTTTCCTTTCCTTTTTTCCCTCATACGAGTACATGTACTCCTAACAGGTATAGTACGCGGGCCGCCGTCCTCGGGATTACCCGGGTTCCGGGGGCTTCCGGGGAATTAGTGGATGGCCCATTGATGATACGGTACGCCCTATGGTAGCTATGTTGTACAGTAAGTTATCTGCTGGATTGTGGCTATTGGGGTTGCCAATATGGAGGTTCACATGCTAGGCTCATGATGGATGGGGAGCGTATTCGAGCAGACATTGTGTGATGGTCACAGCTATAAAAAAATTGGAAGAACCCCCCCCCCCCCGAGAGATGGAATGGGAGTTGTCAGGCGAGAAAGCTCAGAAGAAAATTGTTTGTATTTTCTTTGGGAGGTACTTGTATAACAGGTCGGGGGAATGCTCGTTTCGGTACTGCTGGTGTTTCGTGTATCGTCCCTCAAGAATTCAATGTAACGCGCGAAGCTTTTTGACAACTGGGCATCTAGATAAAGGATACCGACAGTGTTGCCTACGCTCATTGGCGCTCGCTCGTGTATACAGTATTACAGTGTTACGGTTCTTGGTCCGTAGGACGCCTCGTGTGATGTGGATAGCTTAGGGAGTGTTTGGTACACCGTTATTTGAAATAATCATGATTTCAAAACATGTTTTGAGCCAAATCATGTTTTGTAATAACAATGGGGTTTGGCATACCATTGTTTGTAAACATGACACAACCATTTTTACAAAACATGTTTTGAAATAATATAATAATATTTTACTTTGATTACTAAAAAAAGTCAATTCCATGATTAATATATACAATAATTTATGTATTTTATATGAACGGTCAGTTAACAATTTTATAGAGAGAATGAAATAAAAAGTAATATAATGATATGATTGTTTGTAGGGAGTCGAGGATAGGGTTGTAGAAGATATTGTATTAAGGGTCAGATATCATGCTATCCAATCTAGCAGTAGTGGCAACTTGTAGTACATTAATTATTTCATCCTCTTCATAGCCAGTAGACATAATAGGTATATGGATTATTGTAGTTTTTTTTTACTATAGTGCTGCGAAAAATTGTGGTTAAGAATTGAGTTTAAAAACTTTTATATATGCATAAATTAATTATAAAAATCTTTTACTTCTTTATATATTATTTATTTAACAACATATTACTAATAATAAATTTAACCAGCTGAAACATGACTAATAAAACCTTTTTCTCAAAACATGTTTAGAAACAATATTGCTGTTTGGCATGATCATGTTTTCAAATAAGAGTTGTTGGTTGTTTGTACACTTGTTTACAAAACATAATTTGAAATCACGGTTATTTCAAATAACGGCATGCCAAATACCCCCTTAGTAATCATGGCATCATAAGGGGGATGGAAATACTGGCAACAGTAACGTGCAACTATCAAAGTAGGGTTTCAGGGCCCCTGCTCCATCTTCCTTATTGGTTATCATATCATACATAAACCAAGAGTCGGGAGTTGTGTTGGGTGCTACGCCATATTGATGGCTATGTCTGGTAGCTGGGTACACAGAGAGTGTTTTGAGTCCGAGTGCAGATGTCATGCTTGATTGGGGCATGTTCAACTGTGTTACAAACTGTGACTAAGCAAGGCAGATTTCACATAGCATGGGATTCTGAGCTCTACTAGTAGGTATATTGGAATTTCACATAACGCGTACTAGTGCGCCATAAGTGAATATGTTTACCTGTTCGTGACTCACAGTTGTGAGTCACATGATATGATTTTTGCACATAACTCAGATTATGAGTGATGGGTTTTACTAGGGTGACGTGAGTTGTGTACCTGACTTGGTTATTATGTTTTGATTGGTTTTTGGTATGTTGTGCAGCAACTCATAGGAGTTATAGTACAAGAACAGATAAGTGTAAACCAGATTAAGGGGTGCTTTCAAAGGAGGATACAGCATCCAATACTTGTGCCAAAGAAATAAAAAAAGCGTAGATCTGTAGGCAAAGTAAAGTAGAATAAAAGTACGGTTTTTTTATTTCTTAAGGAAAGGCTGGAAAAGTGACATCTTGCTTTAAAAGTATCTAGTTTAGGTGGAAAATATAGATTTGAGCAGAATAATGCAACACAAAAAAGGCTGACTAAGCAATAAATTAGGTAGAGAAATGCAATAAACAATACAGTACAACTGCAATAAGTGAAAATATGCAACCAGCCTACCATATACAATATGACTGGAATCAATAAGTGAAAACATCAGAGCCATGCTGCTGGCAGGCTGGGGGGAAGGCCTAAAAAGGATACTGAAAATGCAGAGTCTTCTGTTGACCCTATATCCACGATTGAGGATCTTGAGAGTGATTTAGAACTACTGCATTCAGGTAAGCTTTAATCCTGGTCTAATAAGATACAATTAACATCAGCTAATTATTTACTGGTAATAAATAGTAGAGGCAAATCACAATAGGCAAATTGAGCAATCAGAAGTCAAGGTCCCATGCAGGCAGATGATTTGGAGGCGGAGGAAGCGAGCAGAGCAAGAAGAGAGATTACAAGCAGTAAATCCTGCAAGGGTAGAGGGTGAGTTATTTACTTAGAAGAAAGCAAGATAGTTAGAAGAGTTAAGTTCTAACAAGAAGGCAGCAGATGAGGTAGATACCGTAGAGGCAGAGAGAGAAGAGTCTGAAGATTCTGAGTCACAGGAGAGTGAGCAATTAGCTCTAGCTCTAGAGAGCTGGCCACGCTTATCAGAGTATCAAGCAATACGCTTCAAGTATAGCATTCTGTCAGATAGTAAGTCAATCTTATTATTACTGATTTTGGTTATGATGTGTATAGAAAATAGCTAACAAATAAATTAGCTATTCATGATATGCGGAAGTTGCTCAACTCAAACAGAAGAAAGACTAAGGGGCAGGACCTAGTTTACTATATTCAGGTCCTAGAGTTTCTTTGTTTTCAGCGGTATGGACTCATTAAGCCATTTTGGAAGAAAATATGGATAGAAGCAGCCTTAATGATTGCAGCCACTGGAGGAAATGGTCAACGTGTGAGAAACCGTATTTTATATCATGAAAAGTCTTGGATCAAGTGTTGGAAGTTGCCAGTTTCTCAGTAAGGCAAATCACCTATGCTGCATCGTCTAATTGATAATGAAGGGACAAGACTTGTACTACAGGAATACCTGGCTGGTGCAGCTGAGAGGGTTACAGGCCAGCATCTTGCATTTGCCATTTCAACCTATTGGCAGACCGGAACACCCCCCTCTGAGGAGCAGCCTGAGTTGAAAGATCTACCGAAGCCATACACGGTCGAAACTCAGATCCAACTGGCACAGCTTGCCAAGAAACGAAGCCAGATTCAAGCAACTCTCAGCTCTCGAACTGCTACCAAATGGCTCCATGAAATGGGATATAAATACAAGGATATAAGGAAAGAAGTATACAAGGATGGACATGAGAGAGATGATGTTATTCAATATCGTCAAGAGGTCTTCCTACCAACTCTAAGAGCCCTGGAGGATCGAATGGTACGATGGAAGCTGGTTGAAACCCCAAATGGTGAAACTCTACAAACAATCTATCCACCAAATCTCCCCCCTGGTGTATGGCCAATTATTCCAATTGTCCATGATGAGACAACATTCAATGCCAATGATGGGCGCAATAAGGTTTGGATTAAGGAGGATCATACGTCGCTGAAGAAGAAGTCCCGTGGTAAAGGAATTATGGTTTCTGACTTTCTTTTTCCTGGGAGAAGACTGCAAGTCCCTCATGGTACTGAGATCCCATCACTTCTTCAGTATGAAGTTTCAGACAACTGTCTCAATCGTCTCAATCCCCATTTTACCACTTGTTCAATTGAATATAGTGGTGAAAAGTGGTGGGATGGTGATAAGCTTGTTGAACAAGTTTTGAAAATTGCTATCCCTATATTTGAAACAGCTTTTCTAGGCAGTAAAGGATTATTTCTATTCGACAATGCAACCAGCTACTGTGCATATTCAGTCAATGCATTGAGAGCTTCTGCCATGAATTTGCATCCTGGTGGTGAGCAGGTTGCCCTTCGGGCTGGCCAAAATTCCCTTACTGGTGGGGTTCAAGAAATGGTAATAACTGATGGTATACTGAAAGGACTTCAAATAGTATTAGAAGAGTGAGGATTGTGGAGGCCCGGGTTCAAGTTACGACTACAGTGCCGTAAAGAGAATAGCAACCTGAAAAATCAATGCCTCTTGGGAGGCACCTGTTGTGCAAGGACTTTGATTGCCAAAGAACATGACTTCAAAGCTCAAAGAAGCAGGTTAGAGGAAGAGGTAGAGTTGGTAGGACATCGGGTACACTTTTTCCCAAAATATCACTGCGAGCTAAACTTTATAGAATACTATTGGGGGGCAGCAAAGCTTTATGCACGCAAAAGGTGTGGGTATAGTATTAAGGCATTAAGAAAAATGGTTCCTGAGTCTTTAAACTTAGTAAAACCAACTCTTATCTGGAAGTTTTGGGCACTGACCCAAAGAATGATGAAGGCATATGAAGCTGGGGTTGCTTATGGTAGTACTGACTTTAAGGAAAGGGTTACTAAAACATACAGAAGTTATAGACAAGTCTCAAACTCACAGAATGTTATATTAACTTAATTTGATATTTTCTGTTCTCATATTTTGCAGTCTGCACAATCTATCACTCATAGTCTTGGCAAGTTTTTAGTATAGCCACTGTTGCATTTGCCTCAGCCACTTGGTTTATAGTCTTTCAATCTGGCACCATAGCTGATGGATTTCGCATGATTCATAGTTATAAGTCACAGGGTTCGCGTGACGTGAGGTATGAGTCGTGCCAAATGAAGAGCGACTATATAAAGGGTTACTAGGACCTTGAGTATGAGCTCTTCATACATTCTTTTCATTTATTTCCTACCTTTAAGTTTTTATAATAAAACCTACCTTTACGCTCTTTAAGATTTATCTTAAGAAACCCAAGAATTGTCTTTCCTCCCATGACGAGGAAGAGTAAGTCCTAATTAAGGACTTAAGAAGATTAAGAAATAGGTACGATAAGATAGAAGTTAAAAGGACTCAGTTATCTACGTCATATAGGCAATGGTCTAAGAACTATCTCCTTACCTAAGTAAGAATTACTACCTGTCGCACCCCCGCTACTGGTAGGATTCTTAATATTAGAACATGTCTAAAATACAACACTTAATGATTGCACCATGGCTTCGTTTAACTACGATCATAAAGGGGACTTTGACCTCCAAGACAATAGCTTAGGTTTGGAAGAGCTAGAATAAGCAATCAGCGAGGCAAGTCGACACTCGGCAGAAACAGCAAGTCCAGTCACACTTGAACAAGTGACATCACCAAACGAGGAAGAACCACCAGAGACTCCAAAATCTGAAAGAATGTCAGGACCAGCACCACTACCAGGTCCACCACTCACGAGACCAGCAATGTTCACCCGCGAAGAAGTGCACCAAATGATACGAGAAGAGTTTAGAGGAGGAGGTCAGAAGCCGAGAGTCAAAACACCACCAAGATACAATGGCGAAAGGAGCAGACTACAAGGGTTCATGGTCCAACTCCTTACCTACTTTGATGCAGTAGGATGGACATAAGGAAACGACAAAGACAAGATATGCTATATCTTAACACTACTAGAAGGAGCGGCCCTACATTGAGTAACTCCCATAGTGGTCAGTCAGACACCAGTACCATAGACCAATTGGGACAGCTTCAAAGTGATATTTAAGGCTTAGTTCACAGACATGGAACTAAGCCAATCGGTACAGAACAAACTAGAAGAAATCAATCAAGGAGGAAAGAATATTACTGATTACTGGTACGAATTCAGACTCCTCCAATATGATGCCGAATGCAATAAAGCATCAGCTATGAGGTAGTTTATGAAAGGTTTGAGAAAAGTCTACCAAGATGCATGGAGATACAGTAAGGAAAGATTTACAACCACCAAAGCCATGGCGTATTGGGCCATTTGAGAAGAAATTCACTTTGGACAACTCGACTGGATTCAGAAAAATCATCCATCCTCGACTCAATCTAACAACTCGAACATGAGGAACCAAGGTACACCTAGGCACCAGAATAGAACCTTTTGAACTACTGCTTAAGGAGGTAATGCAGGGAACTTGGATGCAACCAGGAGAAGACCATCACTCAACCTCTTAAGAGACGAATACCTTTGCTGACAAAATAATAATCTCTATCTGAAATGTGGAATAAAAGGACATATAATCAAGGATTGCAGATGGCCTGTCAACCCAGCTGCAATACAAGGAAGAGACTAGTGAAATACGAGACCAAGTCCTAAGGCTCTGTTTGGCAGGAATGGAACTGTTCAGGAACGGTCTATTTCAAAATGGTTGTAACAGGCGAAATGGAGCACTTCTGTTTCGAAATGGTTTCTGTTACCTTCAATTGAGAATTTTTTTTAACCCTTGGCAACACTCTATAGGGCAGAGTAATTTTGAATACTATATC